GGCGATCCTGCCCCACCGTCCACATTGCGCAGGGAGGAAGAAAAAACATACCATCCCAGGCGACCGGGCATCGACCCCCCTCACCCGTGCAATAAATTACTATGCGCGCAGTCGCACCTGACAAAATATCATGTTGCGCGGGTCCTTCATACCAGAAGCAGCTGAGTCCACATACTTGCGCACATGTCGACATTATGCCGCCGAACGCATATGTTGCGCAGGCACATCATCACACACACACACACCACAAGCCGTTCGGCGCTCACCCAACAGATCACCGAATGTATGTCCGCGCGTACTTGCTGAAATCACGGGGCAACCACCTGTTTGTAACAGGCCCTTCCAGAACCAGCATTATCATCTCACCACGCGGTGCACCTGCGTCGATTTTGCACGCGCCCACTGTAATAAGCCTTACCACATAGTACCATTCAGGCCACACGCGTGCGCTGCCACGCGCGCGTGACAAAAAAATATATCGTCCAACACCAATCGTTGCCATATCGTTTCAAGACAAAGCTCTTCAACTTAATTTACGAACCAACTTTTCTACAACATATCTGCAAACTTGATTCACTTTCTGCGCGCGCACTTCCTGATTCTTCATCACCCTCACTAGCAAACTCGCACCACCGCCGTTATCGTCGTCGCCACTTGCAGCCATTTCCGCCATCAACAGCCAACGATCTTCATTTCCGGGACATGGATATCATGATATCATCGTCATCGCCGTGACCAGCATCGACGCCATCATTGGCCTTGCCGGCGTCATCGTCATCATCGCCACCACCATGGGTCGTTGTCGCAATTGTCGATGTACGCATGCTATCGCGCCAGCCCGAGTCATCGACCCGTACTGAATTGCTAGCGCCTCAACGCGGCCTTTGAGATGCGCTAGGGAGTCCCCATAGGTAAGCGCCATCGCGGCCGCATCAGCTGTGCCAAACCGGCTGGCCGCTCTGCGCGCGAGTTTGCGCGTGCCAGCGCGGCCGCAGAGATGCGCCAGCCAGTGCCAAGCAGTCACCGCAATCGAGCCCACATGGGTTTTGCATAACGACTTGCGGGTTGGAGGGTGGAATGCTTGCGCGAGCAGTAGAGTTCACAACTAATTAGTGGCGTTCGTTACACAGCACAACTTACACCACTGGGCTTGCACCAAGTATGTTGCACCACGGAGTATACACCACACAGCTCACACCACAGCTATAACATAGCATATCCTAAAGTACGTAGTTGCACGGCATAGCTTACATCATATCAACTGAACCACATACATAGCTTACACATCTGGAGTGCAATAACTCACGATTTGGGGTCAATGGTGGCACACTTTTATCCGTATTCCAGTGCAGTACTACTCGTGGCCTCTTCCTCCCCCTTCCCCTAGGCGGCCTCCCCCAGGTCCTCGTCCTCGTCCTCTTGCTCCTCCTGCTCCTCCTCCTCCTCTTCCTCCGTCTGCTCCGCCTCCTCCTCCTCCTCCTCCTCCTCCTCCTCCTCTTCCTCCTCCTCCTCATCCTCCTCCTCCATCCCCCTCCTCCTCCGCCTCCGCCTCCTCCCCCTCCTACTTGCCTGCCTCTTGCCGCCCCACTCCTCCATCCTACCTCCGCCGCCGCCCTCCTCCCCCTCACTCCCACCCACTCCCCTCTTCGCTGCCGAGGGGGCCCCTGGAGGGGCCCCATTGAGACCCCAAACAAACCCCCCCGAAAAGGACCCCCCTCCCATCTCCATCCCCCTCCTCCGCGTCTTCCCCCCTCCTTTTCCTGCCTCCTCCTTCTTCTCCTCCTCCTCCTCGCCCTCCTCCTCCTCCTCGTCTTCCTCCTCCTCCTCCTCCTCCTCCTCCTCCTCCTCCTCCTCTTCTCCTCGGCAGCCGACCCGGCACCTAATTACGTGCGCCTTCAGGAGTTCAGGCGTGGCCCAACAAGGCCCATCAAAAGAGGGCCTCCCACACCCTCCTGTCCCAAGTCCCGTCCTGGTAAGTCCCTCCGAGCACTCCTTTCCGATGCGGGAAGCGTTCTCCTTGACAGACGACCGGCATGATCAATATTTGATCGTTCCATCCACAAGGAATGCAACCAGGTAGGGTCATACAACTCAAGAAATATCCAGCGAGGGCTCCGTTTTGAACAGGGTCTGTCCCCCATCCTCCATCTGTGTAAGCGCTGCGCTGTTCAACAATTCCCGCCATGAAGTTGCACGAAACCTCAAGCGACCACCCACTTGCAAACAAAAAGCGCCATCCATCCATGAAACGAGTGCGCACATGGCCGTAACAATTGAAGAATATTCCAGTAAGATCCCCATCTCGAAATTGACCCGCGCTTGCAAGACAAATGTGGGCGGCGCCAAGTCCAGATCCGATTGTGAAAACACCTGTGCCTCTTGTGTGAAGAATACCTATACGACCGCCCTGCGGGCGATGAGGCGGTTGGGGGGGGATTGAGATCAAATGCCCACCCTGACTGACCTCCAGCATATCACCTTGATCCCAAGATAAAATCGATTGGATTGGACAAAATTGATTGGATAAGATAGGCTGGATTAGATACGAAAACCCGCCGCAGGCGCCGAAAACAATTAATTAAGAAATTAGCGACATGCGTTAGCGCCGGGACGCCCGGGACACCCGGGACACCGCCCGGCCCAACTGGGACACCTCCCAGCCACCGGCGGACGGGAAACGGACTTTCGCTCCCACTGACACCCGGGACACCCGGGACACCGCCTGGCCCAACTGGGACACCACCCAACCGGCGAACGGGAACGGACTTTCGCTCCTACTTCGGCCTAGCTACAGGAAAATCACGCGCAGCTTCGCCCCGCCCGCACGCACGACACGAACACGAAACCGCAACCGATTTCCTGGCGGGGGGTCTCCGTTCCACTGCGATCTCACCCCTTAACCTCCGATGATCGAATCTCCAAGCTTCGAGATCATGCAGTGGAGATCTCAAGCGAAACGCCTGGTCCCTCATAACGAAGTGTGCGATGGGGCGACAGGGATGAGTGTTATATGCACAGAGAAGGGGCGGAGTGGAGAGGTGGGGAGGGAGAAGGAAAGGAAAGACGAAAGGAGGAAGTGAGAGGGATGGAGGGAGAGAGGATGGTGGATGAGGAGAAGCTTGGCAGGGCGGCAGCATAAGATGCACGCAACATCCTGGGCCACAGGCGCCGGTTTCCAAGAAGGAGGAGGAGGCGGAGGAGGAGGGGAGGAGGCGGAGGAGGAGGGGGGGTGGGAGGAGGAGGAGGAGGAAGGGGAAGGAACTGGAGGAGGGGGAGGAGGAGGGGGAGGAGGAGGAGGAGGAGGAGGAGGAGGAGGGAGAAGGAGGAGGAGGAGGAGGGGAGGAGGGGTTGGAGGAGGGTTGGAGGGGGGGAGGGAGTGTGTGTGCGACGAGGGGCATGACCATGAGCGTGCTCCATCGGTTCTGAAACTGTCAGCAGAGAGACAGCAGGAAAAAAAAAGGCGCTCCCCACCCTAGTCCTTCTTGAACATGTCGGGGAGGCGGAGCTGGCCTCCTTGCGCGACCCACGGGGCTCTGGCCTCGTGTGCTGCCTTGGCGGCGGCCTGGGTACGGACCAAGCGCCTCTCCCTGGCCTGCGCTCGGTTGCGGGCGATCCTTGATCGCTGCTCTTCGGTGAGGGGGGGGAGGGGGGGGGAGGGGGGGGCGGGGAAGGGACAAGAGGAGAAACCTCCAAGGCCCACTGAGCAGTCGCAACAGACTGGCTCTGGGGATCGAAGAGCTCTTCCTGGTCCATGGGATCAGGGTCTACGGGAGGGGGGGCCAGGAAAACTCCATCCCCCTCGGACTCAGGAAAAAAACCTGCGCGACTCTGGATCGACCTTGCGACGATAACACTTGTGGCCTCCAGCGAAATCGGGGGCCAGGGCAAAATCTTGGTCGCAGTCAGGGGTCCATGGCACGAAGAAACGCATGGGGCTGTCTGCAATGCCTGACTAGTCGAACTCGAAGACAAAATCTGCCTTGTTAATTGGGGCCGCGATATGCTGGGCGCTGTCCAAAATGGACTTCGCAATCGCCTGGCATAGGTGGCTGGGATACGTCTTCTTTGCCTGGGTTCTCCACGAACCATCCCTTTTTCCTACCAAGCAAGGTGAGATGGGCCCCTTTTACCGTGGGAACAACGTCCAGCTCCTGGCGCGTTCGTAAGAGCCTCTGGGAGCGTGGGCATTCGAATTTCAATGATTCGGGTTGGGGCTCTTCCTATCTGCGACATGTCAGAAGTGGCCCGGGGATGCTCGCACTGATCAAAATCAGTCATGCTGGAAACGGGGGAGGAAACGAGGGCAATGAGCGGGGGCCATCGCCAGGAGGAGGGGGCATCGGGCACCCAGGAGGCGGGGATATGATGTTCCATCCACCCACCCGTCCCAGCACGCATGCGTTCGCACAACATAAGCACTAAAGCCTGGAGGAGCTGGCCTCCGATGCGGAGCTGGTCTTGTTGCCTGGGCGTGCAGCCTGGGATTCCCCAAAAATCGTTTAGGGTGCGGAGAGGGGGGGGGGCCCTTCTTGCCAACGCGCAGCACTCCAAGTCTCGCAAGGCCCCCCCCCCTCTGTGCTGAGCACCCTTCGGTCGCGATTGTGACCAATCCAAAACTTGATAGAGTCGCGCTGAGTTAAATCGCCTCGCTCGTTATCGATCGCGATATCGATCGAGAGGCAGAAGATCTCGCACTCCGGGAGGGGGTGCGACGAGGAGAGATGCCACTGCACATCGCCGCTTCTGCGTTCCCCACAGAACAGGTTCAGCGCGAAAAAACTGGGCTCTGTAAATTCTGACGAGGAGGGGGTCGGCAGCGGTTTGGGCGTGGTCCTGGGGCCGAAGGGGCCAGTTGCGGTCTTCAAGACCTTCGCTTTGGACCGCAGGGGCCGCAACCCCAGACAAAACAAAATATCGAGTGGCCGCCTCCTCAGGGGGGGGGGGCAAAAAGTCAGAACACGGCAAAACTTCGCGGGCCTCAGAGTCGGTCAGTAGAGCGATCACCTCTCGTGCGAAAGGGTCCTGGACTGCGCGGGCTCGGGCACGTCCTTGTACCTGGATAGCTGGGACCTCTGGGCGCCGTCGACCCAGACCTGCTGCTCTTTTCTGTGCGGCTGTGTTGGCTGCTTCCTCGTTAAGCTTCTCGATGCGATCGTAGGAACAATCGCAGGGCGTGCTGAGCATGGCAAGCGCACACTTCGGAGACGAGAAAGCAAGATGTTCGATTAGTGGTTTGCGTGCTGCGAACGTAGTCTGACAGTGCCGACATTGCTTGGTGTGTCCAAGATGTGTGCGCACTCTATGTATGAACGTCCGATGCTCGCGGGCCGTGTGCTGCTTGAAACCCTTGATGGCGTCGAACTTCTCTGGGCACCATAGACACGTGTAGGATGGCATGGTGGCTTGATCTTGGACCCTCAGGCGATGGCTGGGATCTGTAAAGGCCTTCGGTACACCCGCATCGTCTAAAACCTGAAAAGCTTCGGCCTCCACGACAGCGGCAAGAGTAGTTCTAGCATGATGTGAAATATGTGCCTGCAGAGCAGCCTTGAGGATGACCTTCCAACGCGTCTCAGAGCCTAAGATGAGCGACTCCCAAGCTGCGAGGTCCTCCGAGGCCTTGGGGAGCTCCTTCAAGCGATAGTGGTGCTGACGGACCCACTCTAGATCTCGCATGACCTGGTGTAACCACGAGTTCGTGCCCAGGGTGGCGCAATATCCCACCGGAGCCAGAAGGTGCGCTGGCCCATGATGCAAGAGCCTTCCACAAAGTCCCAGCCTGTGCACCCGCAGCATGGAGCCTAAGTCTGGCTTGGCAACTTTGGCAAGGATCTGCGCCGACGATAGCGCTGTCTTGTCAATCCTCGGGCAGTGGACGACAGCTCTGTACATGCGAACAATATCGTCGGCCAGCTGGGCTGACTGCGCCAGTGTTAGGGTCGGCCAAGTGCATACTTGGTACAAACGGCTCGAACACATGAGGGAATCAATCCAGATCATGCCGATGCGATTCTCGAGGTGCGGGTCTCTAACGACACTGCGAAGCTTCTTCCACTCTGAAACTGTAGCTTGACGGCGATGCGCTAGCTCGGGTCCTAAAGAACAACCTTCGTCGAGAACAGTTCCGAGGTGCGTATATTGTCTGACTGCGTGTAGGCCAAGTTGGCCGTATAGCCTAGTGACAGACCGAATGGTGCCTCCCCGCTGCAGCCAGAGTCGTCGTTTCGCGATGTCGGATCCTTTGCCTCGTAGTTGGAAAAGGGCAGCGGAATTCCCCTTGGCGGTATGCAGCTGAATACCCCTGGACCCGAACGCGTCGAAGATGATGCTGGCGGCGAATGGCGCAAGCCGTAGAAGGTCGGACGGGCTTCCTAGCAGCATGAACATCGCATCGTCGAAACAAGCCATGTCCATAGAGTGGTCTGTATGTACGTGTTGCGTGTCCTGGCCCAGGTACGTACTAATAGAACGGTCCTCCGAGACAGGAATACGTAACTCAATCCCAAGATCAACCAGAGCGTCCTGGGCTTCTTTGGCCACTAGGGCCATGACGAAATTGTGCACCAGGCCCCCCAATTGCTGACCAGGCCCCGTGCCCTCTTGAGGAAAAGCCATGGTAGAGCTCCCTGGGACCACGAACCAGTTGGACTGGTAGCAGTCCGCCACCTGCGCGCGGAACCTCTTGGGGAACTGCAAAGCCCCCATGATGGGCCCATGGGTCTTGATGTACGCCTCGAGTTCGTCCATGGCCTCCGGTGGAAGCCCTGCACGCTTGAGGATGTGGGCCAGCGCCTCGTCAGATGCACCCGTCTCGAAGACGAGCTCCATGACCGATCTGTAAAAAAGCCTGCACAGCATCTGTAAGGATAAACAACGCGGACTGCCTCGTCTGGAGGCCGATCTGCTGCATGGTGCGCACTTCCAGTGCTGCAAAGTCCGCGCCACCATGGGCAACTCCTCTGTACTGACGGGGGCCAGCTAGCGGCAGCAACAGAGGTGCCACATCTCTTCGCAACAGACTTCGAAACCGTTTCCCCAGTTGAGAAGACCCAAGTATGGATCGGTAATTGGGACGCGAAGCAGGATTGCCTTTTTGGGGCAGGGGCAAGTAAAAACCACCCTTCCACTGGATAGGCTCCGAGATGCAGACCTGGGCCTTAAGGGGCAGTGGCAGCAGCAGCGGAGCCAGCTCGCCAGCGAGCTTGCGGACCATGTTGCCTGCAATGCCGTCTGGTCCTGCTGCTGACGGCTTGGCTGAGCGCAAAGCTTGCAACACCTGGGCCATGGTGTAAAGATCCTCCGGGGCGAACGCGATGCGATCGAGGAGCTCCTGGGGCAACTCCTGGATCCCTGAGCTGTGGTAGGCCAGGTCCGAGATGGGTATGACAGGACCCGCTTCGATAAGGGCGAAGCGTTGTGTCCACACGTCTGCTACGGCACGTTCCGAGTCGAACGGATTTTCGTCGAAACCGTTGAGGATGGGTAAAACTCGACGCCGAACCTTCTTCTTGGAGCCTGCCCCGATGGATCTAAGCCTGCGAAAAGCCTGGAGGAGATCCCGCCTCGACCACTCACTGGATACATATTTGGCAATTTCTTGTGCATGCATGCGCAAATCGGCTCTGAGCTGCAGGTTGACAACTTCGGTCGACAAAAATAAGCTGGTGTGCCGCATGGCCAGGACGACCTTGGCACCAGCTGCAAGCGCAATCATGATGATCGTGCAGTTACCTTGTGCGATGGTGTCGTTGAGCCATGTGAGCTCGAAACTCTGGAGTCGGTCAGGCCGTGGTCTAGAAACCTTGTGAGCCTCCGGGTAAGCCTCCAACTCGAACGGGAGCTTCTGAATCCCAGATAGCCCCTGAGCAGCGCCTTTAATAGCTTCCCCAATGTATTGATACCATCTCCGAGCTCCAGAATCGAGCGGGCGTAGCGCGAAGCGCCAGGATAGCTGGCGATAAGAGAACCAGGAGCCCCCAATCGGTGTAGCCCAAGCTCGAAATACGGTGGCCAGGGCGGCTATTTTCCAGGACTTGTAGGTGTCGCGAAAGTGCCTGAGGAACCCAGCTCTGGTGTCCATGTGCTCGAGGGCTTTAGTAAACACCCAAGCATGCCTAGGCTTTCTTCCATTGTCGGTCTTCTTTTTTTGGGGGGGGGAGGGGAAGGCGGTGGCGATGGCGTCCTGCAAGTAAGTAGTGGGCTGTTGGCAGTGGTCCGCAGCATGAACTTGAAACTCTGGCTGCGGCACATGTAAAAGTAACTCTTGAAAGCGTTGCCGAGCCTTCGTGTCGCAAAAAAGAGATTCGTCGTACTTGCTGCGCGGGTATGCATAGTGCACTGGATTCTGCTGCTGCAAGGGAATCTTAGCCATGATTGAGACTGTCTTATGATCGGCGATGGTGATGGCCAGCTCTATATCGCGCGCGACTCGAGCGCCCTGCGCGGCAACTGAGTGTGAGCAAACCACGTAATCGATGCGCCGCCCTTTCTTCCTCTCCTGGTGCCGCGGCGAATGCCGCTGGGGCCTGGGGAGGGGGGGGGGGGGTAGAGGGGGCCCAAAGCGACCTCTCGGGCAAAAATCTCGTGGAAAAGCGAGCCGGTCTTGTTCTCGGGGGCATCGTGAACACTGCCAACACTAGACGAGACGACAGAGCCCATGGTGCCATTAGAGTCCCAAAAGTGAACCTCCGGGATGCCAGGGTCCAGGAGCTTGCCCAAGAGTTGTCCCGTCTCAGACCACCATTGCTGAATCTTCATCTCCTGGGTGACGCAGTGTGGCCCGCGGCCTACTACCACGTTGCAGCGGAGAGCGTCAGCTCTAATAGCAACCGCTAATAACCTTGGGCTGGCGTAAAGAACTCGGCATTGCTTGGCATTCAAACGGCAGCCGTCTGCGTAAGTCAGCCCCAGGTTAATCCAAAGAGAGCAACCAAAACGGCGATGCTGATCAGCTCCGGCGTGTAAGACGAGGTATTCCCCAGTGTTGGTGTATCCGTCCCTAGGGCAACGCGTTTCACAAGTGCACGCCAAGAAAACCTGGGACCGCTTGAAGACAGAAGCCAGGTATGCCATACGTCCAGGAAAGTAAAGTCCCGAAACCTTTTTCTGACGCACGGCCTTGGGGTCCAAAGTAAGAACGTTGGCCGTGATCATGCGCGTGGGCCTGGTAGTGGGACCCATACTTGTGTCTGAGCCTGGCCCCCCGTCCGAGCCATGTCCCCTGGGCTGTGGCTGAAGGTCAGCAAGCTGAAATACTGCAGGATAGCTGTCGCGTAAACGATATCCTGCAGCCGGTGGGTATTGCGCTCTTACGGCGATGGGTTGTGCATCCAGCCAAGCCCATGCCAAACTGCTCATATTCGTTCGGCAAGCTTCCTGCCAATGATCTGGGAGAGCCGTGGGCGGAAGATACTGTAGTGAAACAATTCTGCATAGTGTGTCGGCGAGCTCATTCCATGGCTGAGCTGAATGTCCTGCAATATGCGACACTAAAAACCGCTGGAAACGTGCCTGGACTAAGAAGGGGCAAGCCGTTGAGTACTCGGCGGTGGGCCTCCAGAGCCCCATAGATGGCCCCTGCGCGCATGACGTCCAGGGCGCCCAGATTATCCCCATAAACTGAAATAGCCAGAGAATCATACCCAGATTGCAGGACCCACGCAAGAGCCCATTGAGCAGCAAGGATCTCAGCCAAGAAAGAAACCAGGTAGTTCAAAGTACCTCCAGGATCAAAGCACTGCACGGCGCACCCCAATAGAGCCTGGTCCCCCTTGGAGTCGGTAACCAGAACCACGAGCGCCCAACTGGGGGGGCCCGTGCGAGGAGCTCCTTCGGGGATGCTGGCACCTGGAGGGTACATACTGCCACCGCCCGATCCGTCTGTGTAAATCTCGAGTGAGACCCATTCGGATAAGTCCTGCAGGGTAGAGAGACCTGAAAAGGCAGAAACAGTAGATGAATGTAGAAACTGCGATAAATCCAGGATGTCCTGGTCGAGTTGGACGTCCCAAGGAAGCTGGAGCATGCCAGCAAGAACCGTGGCGTGCGGGAGAGGCGACCGATCGCATCTTCCGAGGAAGGAATGTTCATCCCAGGGGGCGTCAGGGGCGTAGGACACCCCTGATCTGATGTTTGGTACCCCAGAGGAGAGAGGTCCTGCATGCCGTAGCTGGCGTGCTGCTCATGCAGCGCGTCGTTCCTCAACTCTCCTCCGCTGCGCGAAAAAAACTGCTTCTGCTTGAGAAAGGAAGGGGCCCGTGCCAGGGGCGGTCGTGCCCGATGGTGGAGTAGGTGATTCCTCCTCGTATGGCAACGTCTGGATCTTGTGCGCTGGTGCATCCTCGGGCGTCGTATCCTCCTCGGGCCTCTTGCGAGGCGGTGGGGCGGTAGGATCTGGCGGTGCAGGTGCTCCCAGGGCAATTGCTGCAGCGCGCTCCTCTGCCGAGATATTGGGTGGGTCGTCCTCGCCGTGGTCGCCTGCCGGTACATCCGCTCCGTCTGCTGGCTGAACGCCTCGGGCGGGGCCCCGTTGAAGGGGGAGCTGGCCTGGCGGCGGCGGCCTCGCAAAAGCTCGCCCTGCGGCCCTCTGCCCAGCTGGCACGTGCTGCGGTGGGGCTTGGCCTGGGCCCGCCGCTGGGCCGCCCGTGGCGGCGGCAGCCGCGTGCTGCCGTGGCGTTCCCGCGTGAGGCTGCTGGGCTGGGTGGGCGTTCGCGGGGGCTTGTCCCTTGTCCCTGGCGATTGCGCCGCGGGCGCCCTTGTCCATGTTGCTGTCGGTGGATGCTGCGTTGGCTTGAGTCTGATGCTGCAAGCCAGCGGCGACTGCGCTGAGAGATGATTGCAGGGCTGCAAACTGTGTAGTCAACGAAGCCAATTGTCCTGTTAGCGTGGCATGTCCGCGTTGAAGTTGATGAATGACTGAGGGGGCATGAGCTGGCATATTCAGACATTTGCGAATAAGATGATGGCGCAAACGGAGATGTCGCCGTGGCACCTGGGCTGAATTGTCCTGGTGACTGTGCTGTGCACGATGGCTGGCATGCGGGGGCGACTGTGCCATTTCTGCATCGCCATCTCCTCCAAATGTGACCGTCCTCTTCTGGGCGGCCGCTTGTGCTTCTGCTTGCTCGGCTTCGGCTTGCTGAGTCTTGAACGTCTCCAGCAGCACCTCCGCCTGTTCTACGTCCTTCTCCAGCGCGACGCGTGCTGAAGTGGCCTTGGCGAGCTGCGCCTTGGCCTCTGACTCTGTCTCCGCTGCTGTCTGCAATCGTGCACGAGCACGTTCGAGGTACATGATATGGTTGTTGGTGCGCTCTCGCGGGGGCTGAGCCGCAATGTACATGTACAGGATGGTCGCGTACTCTAGCTCCAGCGTCTGTACCCGCTGCTCATTCATGTTGAGAGAACGTTGGCATGTCAGCTGCTGCTCGAGTGCTTTCAACGTACTCTTCAGGGTGGTCCGATGGTTTGCCAAATCCTTCACATCGGTAGGCGGGTCTACCCAGCTGGGGTGCGCTCTGGCCGCCTCCGCAGATGCGGGGGGTATGCTCACCGAAGAGGCAGTAGCATTCCCTGTGGCGGCAGGTGCTGGGGTATCGGAAGTCGCCTTCTGATCCCTCCTCCTGCTGGGCGTCTTGGATCTGGGCTTGTCTCTGGACCTGCGGGCGTTCTGCTGGGGCGGAAAACACCATGGACAAATCTTCTGACTTGGCCAATTGTATGTGCCGCATGCTGAGCAGCACCAAGAGCCATCTGCACGGCCGGCTCCCTGCTGCGTTGACTGCGATGGGGCATATCCCTTGGTGCCGCCAGCCGCTCCTTTGCCACCTGGGGTTTGGGCGTTGGCGACCGCCCAAGGCGGCGGGGTGCCCTGCGGCCGCATGGCGCTGTGATCCTGTGATAGAAGTTGTCTGGCTGCGGCGAAGCGGACGAGCACCCTTGCTCGTCCTCGCTGTGCACGAAGCCGTCTGTGCCAGGACGGTTCGCCCTGACGTCCTGCGTGGTCACGGCCACCTGGGCGTTCGCCGCGCGGCAGCACTATGGCGGCGGCGGTGATTGCGCCAGGGGCGCGTCTGGCAGCCTTCCCGAGGAGGGGCGCGCGGTTACCTGGTAACCGCACCCAGGGGCCCCTCGAGCCGGGATGGCAGCTGGGGGAGGGAGGGGGAGGAGGGGGGGAAGGAGGAGGAGGAGGAGGAGAAGCAGGAGCAGGAGGAGGAGGAGGAGGAGGAGGAGGAGGAGGAGGAGGAGAAAGAGAGGAGGAGGAGGAGGAGAGAGGAGGAGGAGGAGGAGGAGGAGGAGGAGGAGGAGGAGGAGGAGGAGGAGAGGGGAGAGAAAGATTGGGAGGAGGGAGGGCGGGCCGAGGGGGGAGCGGGCGAGGAGGAAGAGAGCGAGAGGCCGGCCCGCCGCCTTCTTGTGGGGCTGAGAGCACATGCTCGGGGTACAGTTCGGCCTGACGCCCGGGGGGAGGACGCTCTCCCCACGCGGCGCCGCCGGGAGCGGAGGCGGCCGGCTCCCCGTCCTCCTTTCAAGGGGCCCAGACACACACACACACACATACACACACACACACATTCCAGAATTCCCTATATCTTCCCATATTTCCTGTGTGTGTGTTCGTGTTTCCCCCCACACACTTTCCATAGTTTACCATCCTTTCCTGGGAATGGACGATCGATTGTGTCTGTGGGCTTCTCCCTTCCTGGCTGATTGCCTCCGCAGCATTTGCCCGCAGAGGCTGCCTGTCGAATAGGGCGGCCGCGCCGAGGGGAACCAGTGCGCACAGTGGAGACCAGTCCACGAGAGACCTGCCACAAGAATGATTGGTGTGGGAACGTCACGGCTTCCATGTCAGAACCATCGAAACCCAGAAAACCCGCGGGGCACCCTGGAGGCAAGCAGGAGGGTTCTTGGCACGAGTCTCCACTGTCCATGCGCCCTGCGGTGGCGAACACATCGGCGGCGTATTCCGAGCCCCAGGCCATGCGGCCATGCGACAAAGAGCGCGTGGTCCTCTTCAACACCATCATGAGCCAATCAGCTTAACCGTGGATGATTGAAAAACCGCCTCTCGGGCGGGTGGTGAAGGGGGGTGGCCTAAATGGAGGGTAAATAAAATCGCCCCTTTGGGTTCATTTTCTTCACCCCCCATTTGGGCCAAGGCCCCCTTGGAGCGACTCGGGGGATTTTGGGGCCACTCTGGCCACCTATGGGGGCCACCTGAGCCTGCTAGAAACCCTCCAGGGGCCAAGCTCCGCAAAAGTTCGGCGCCCCCAGAGGAGGTCTCCTGTTTGGAATTGGAGACCCTGGGTGTCGGCCCAGGAGGCCAAAGTTCGGGTGTTGCTAGGAAGTGCCCCTGGCCCCAGGTGCCCCCAGGATTTCCAAGCAAGCCCCCATGGCCTCCAGAGCACCCCTCATCGGGGATCTCCTGACCCGGGTCAACCCAGACCCGGGTCAGCCAGGGCTTGCAGAATCCTGCAAGATCCTGCAAGACCCTGCACCCAAACCCGGGTCAATGCGAAGGATCCTGCAAGATCCTGCAATATCCTGCACCCAAACCCGGGTCAATGGGAGCCTGGCCCTGCAGGATCCTGCAAGATCCGGCGCTATGGCTGACCCCCGTTTGCATTGACCCCCGTCTCAAAGCTCCCGACCTCACGAGGCCCAGAGGGCCCCGGGGGCTCCAAAATGGAACGAACAGCTGGGGGCGCCTTGGGCCAGGGGCACCCTCAGCAACCCCCTCTCACAAGTAGGCTCGGCCTCTTCTGCTGCGTTGGCGCGAGATCTTTGACGCTCGCTCCCCGCATCGGGTCGGAGAACAAGTGGATGGCCCGAGTGCATGGTTTCCCCCGGGGCCGTAGGCGACCCGAGGAGGACGAGGACGAGGAGGAGGAGGAGGAAGAGGAGGAGGAGGAGGAGGAGGAGGAGGAGGGGGAGGAGGAGGAGGAGGAGGAGGAGGAGGAGGAGGAGGAGGAGGAGGAGAAGGAGGAGGAGGAGGAGGAGGAGGAGGAGAAGGAGAGGGAAAACGAGGAGGAGGAGGAGGAGGAAGAGGAGGAGGAGGAGGAGGAGGAGGAGGAGGGGTCGCCTAAGCCCTTCGGGGAAACACCCCAGATGGCCCGAGAGGCTCAAAAAAAAGAGCGCAGCCGCAGGCCAGCCCCTCGCACGCGATCCCGAGAGGTCCAGAGAGAGGCTCCGAGGCCGCAGACACCGGCCCGAAGGCGCACCGGCGTGGGCCAAAAAGGCCCCCCGGGCGTGGGGGTCGCATCGCCCCCCGCAGGCCACCCGGTCGACGAAACCGTTCTCGATTGCGGCCGGGCGTTCCGATGCTTGGCCGAGAATGCAGAGCCAGCAAAACGATTGAACATCCAGTCGTGTGCATGACCATCGGCGGGAAGCCATCGCCCCCCTAGAGCCCCCCCAGATGCTCCCACAAGGTCTCTGAAGCACGACCCAAGCGCAGAGCCGAACACCGCCATTGCTTCAAAGCCACTGCTACACAGCCCATGAACTTCCTCAAGACATCTATAGGATTCCAAAGAAAATCCATAGGATTCCTTCGCAAATCCATAGGAACCCTTCCGACATCTATAGGAAACCTTGGGACATACATGGGAATACTTCGGAAATCCATGGGATTCCTTAGGGAGCCTTCCCTTCTCGCTTCAAAGCTGTCTTCTTCTCAGGGTCGGCGGAACTGGCCGTAAGGCCTTTGCAGTGGTCGACCCCCGAACCTGCCTGAAGCGTCACACCACCAGGTGTTCCAGGCGAAATCCGCCGTTGTCGCGAGTGTTTTCCTGTAGCACCCCCCAAAATAAACAACAGCATGATCAGTGGTCAACCTGCCCGTCGTCGTTGTCGTCGTCGTCCTCCTTATTCTTTCTGCTCGTCCTATTCATGCTTCTACTTCCCCCCGCTAGCCAACCGCCCACGAAGGGCCTGGCCAGGTCCTTCACAACGAGCTTTGGCCTCGCGCACAGAGCATGGCTGTCGACAGTGACGACGACGACGACGACGACGACGACGACGACGACGACGACGACGACGACGACGACGACGACGTCGAGTCCTCGACTAACGTTTCGCTACTCCTCCACAAACACCTCCTCCTTCTCCTCCTCCTCCCTGCCTCTCTCTTTTTGCCCTCCCTCTATCCCCCCCTTGTTATCTCCGCCCTATCGCTCCGCTTGTTGTCTCTTCTGCTAACTCTGCCTCTCCTCCTACCCCTTTTTCTCCTCCCTCTCCTCCTCCAGCTCCTCCCTTCCCCCTCCTCAGCCCCCGCCCTCTCTCCTCCCTCCTCCTCCTCCTCCTCTTTCATCCACGCTCCTTACTTACGCTCGCGCCGCGTAGGTTCCCCCCCTCCTCCGTCTGCCCCCCCGTCCTCCTCCTCCTCCTCCTCCTCCTCCTCCTCCTCCTCCTCCTCCCCCTCCTCCAAGCCCGCATCCCCCTCCTCCTCCCCTCCTTCCTCCTCCTCCTACTCCTCCTCATCCTTCTCCTCCTCCTCCTCCTCCTCCTCCTCCTCCTCCTCCTCCTCCTCTTCCTCGCTCTTCTTCAGAGCCCTCCCCCCTTGCTCCTCCAACTCCTTATCTTTCTCCAGGCTCCCTCCAGTCCCTCGCCCTTCTCATCCTCCCCCTCCTCTTTCGGCCACTCCTCCCCCCTCTTTCGCCTAATCCTGCGTTCCTCGCGCCCAGCTGGTGACCCTCCGAAGCCATGAGAAAATATTCCCTCATCGTCATCGTCGTCGTCCTCCTCCTTCTCTTGCTTCGGGGACTCCAACCCTGTCGACTGAAGGGCACACGGCAATCGGGACTTGACAAGAAATGAAGGCTGCGACCCGTTCTCGATTCAAGAGCATCGATTCTGAAACCGAATATGTGCGCACATCGCCTGAAGGCCGCCGAGACGTATCCAAGGCGCGAAATGCCCCTAAGTTGCCCGACCACCTCACGCATTGGCTCTTTAGATATGCCTGGCGACCCAAGATGATCCCTCTCAGAAGATCACGATACTGGAGCAGGGAGACCCCCAAACAACCCGCCCACACGACACAGCTGATGCTGTTGCCACGACTTCTGCCGCCGCTACTGCGACAACGTCCCCCCACAAACACATGGAGGAATAGCAGATCGAGAAATCCGCTACCCCTCAGGGGGGTATCCCATACGTTTAATATACGGACAAGCAAACACATCGAGATACTTGCATTGCAAGATTGCAAGCCGCCTCTAAACATCGCATCGCGATGGGGGGGAAACTCAGTGGCAATCTGAGCGGTCGCAGCTGGGACCAAGCAGGGCGACCAACACACTGACACCAAGACTCCGAGGACGGAAGAGAGGAGGAGGCAGAATGACGGAAACGGCACACTGAAGCAACACCCCACACATTCGTAGACCAACATGTGCTGACAGCGCCTGCACAAAAGCACCCACGAGCACAAGCGAGACAGAAACGAGGACAGAAGGGAACAATGCCAACGTTGAGATCGATGGCCCAGAAACAACATCGAAACGCCCCGACGAAATGCAAAACAAACGGCAGCACATAGGGGCATCAGGCATGAGCGTTCGCGCGAAACGCGCAACCTTGCGCAAGTCCCCGAACGTGTGATGCACACCAAGCCGAATAGAGCAAGGCCTATGGCACCCTGCGCCCGACTGGGGCGGCTCCCTCAACAATGTGTACCCCGCCCCCCAAAATGCCGACGTACGGCATACCAAAAGACCGACAATAACCAGAAGGGGGAGATGAACTGGTTGAGCAAGCATCCGGCATCCTCCGTCTGCCCATTCTGCTACTGCTGATTTTGCTACTGCAGCTGCTATTGTTGCTTATGCCCCTGTTGGCTATACAACTGATAGGTATGCTGAGAATCCAAGGCTGATGATATTCCTACTGCTGCTGATGCCAACTGCTGTTTCTAGCGTTGCTGATACGCTACTGATGCCGCTGGTACTGTTGCTAAGTTTGCTGCCACCGTCGCTGCAACTGACACTGCACTGCTACCCTTACCGATGACCCTGCTGCTGGGCTGGACTGTTTCTGTTGTTGTTGCGCCGTTGCTGATTACTGTCCGTGGCAAGCGTGTAACTGGCGCTGCAGGGAGAGCTGGATCCCAAGGCAGGAGTATGGCCAAAGCGAAATCGGCATCAACATTACGAGGCAGGGATGTGGCCCGTGCAAGCGCGAGAGCCCCGATCCAGGACAAGAACGTGGCTGGCGGTGGATCGACATCCAGTCTCTGATATCGAACTGGCCAGCGGTGGGGCGAAATTGCCATTCTGGGGCAGGAACGTGGCCGCCTCTGATTAGGCACGGACCGACCGTCCCGGCATTCCTATAGGCCTACCACGAAATGCTCCTAAAACACAGACGTGTTCGAATAACAATAGCAGTTTTTCTAGAACATAAGACCGATGTGTTAAACAAGACAGTCCCAGCCAGACATGGTCCAAGAACATTTCGTGGAAACCACAAACGGTTCTCAGAGCAGTGTTTGGCAGGCCTAGAGGCGATCTAGGACGCTTCGCCACTGCTTGGTAGAACACGATAGTGCGATTCCGAAGCAGGAGCGTGGCCAGCACAAGGGCGAAAGTATCAGTCCAACCCGAAACAATGTTCAAACGACGCGAAGATCGGGACAACATCGGATCGGGGTAACTCGAAATCTCTGAGAATCGGCGGGTTTGGAGGATGTATTGGGCGCCGCGGCCGCTCCAGAGCGTTCCGGAACGCTCCGAGAGCGCTCCGGGACGCTCTGGGGCGGGATTTATCCTGATCCTAGCCCTGTTTTAAATGTGGCTTGGCTGGCGCCGCGGCGAGGCGAAACATTCGTGAGTCTGGGAACGGCCGGCAACGGCGGGGGCGGCGCAGGCCACTTTCTCCTTCGAGCCGGGGCGCGTCGGACGGAGGCCGCGGCATGCCCCGCCGTCTGATACGAGGCCGATGTGGCATCACAGCAGCAATTCGGCCCCTGACTTTCGTCCTGGGTTCGGTTTAGTGAAGTGATGAATTTCGGGGTCCTTACGTGGGAACAAACATCACTTCACTAATCTGGGGCCCCTGGGGCCTCTGAGGGCCCTGGGGCCCAAAATTAGTGAAGTGATGGTTTTCGGGCCTCGGATCTTACACTACCGCATCGACGGAATGAAGTCCCCCTGGCTTGCAAGCAACGCTTGGGCGAAGCATCGCCGGTGACGTGTCGTACAACTTGCTGATCAGCTCGTCCGTATGGTCTTCAGCTTCTTCCGCGTGGGAATCCGCGCTCGGCCGCTGAGTGAACTCTTGCGCTTTGACCGTTGATCGTGAGAAGCTTCTGGCTCTTTCATTTACTCGCATAGTAGCCTAGCATCAACCTGCCCTCATACTCTTCTCCGTAGGCCCGGTCTCCGATGTAGTTAACAGCTTTTTCCTTGTCAACGTGGAGGGGTGCTGTGAAAAGAAGACCCAAACTGTTATGGAGCGCGCAGGTGTCTAGCACGAGCACGAGACTGGAATATAGCACCAGCACGAACGGCAACGACGCTCACAACCTACAAGCTCGCAGCCACGGAACTTTCCAGCTCCAGGCTGCCAATGCAAATTCTAGTCAACTCAACTGGGGCAATTGAGGTGCGCACCCGTTCAACAACAAACTCGGGTATGGTGTGAGTGGGCGCGTCCGCCCTCGCCACCCAGTGAGCCACGTGCCAGCGGCGAGAGGGAATGGACAACAGCAGCGGGAGAGAGCATGCCAGAGAGGTCCGTACTAAGAACTCATCACCCCTAGCAACTACAATATGCATGAAATTCGCTTATCCGATCCTCATCCCCTGCGGCGTGGCCTGGGCCCCACTGGCCGATTTGCCCCCCCTAGATGGGGATATAGGCCGCTCCCTCCGTGTTTCGACTGGTGCATCCCCGACTGGGGGGCTAAGTTGGTGGGGGTCTCGAAGGGGATGGGGATGGGGATGGGGATCGGTTAAACGATACCGATTCTATGACCTAGAGTTCACAGCGTGCCACGTGGAGAGCCGCTTTGCACGGCGGCCTCGACTCTCGTCGGGTGCCCAATTTTCTCGATGGCAGGCGCGGCCGGCCGCAAGCGCGCGGCCGTCGGTCATGGGGTCAAACCCTCCTCCTCCCCCTCCTACTCCTCCTCCTCCTCCTCGTCGTCGTCCTGTTCCTCCTTCTCCTCCACATTCTCCTCGTCTTCCTTCGTCTCCTCCTCCTCCTCCTCATCCTCCTTCCTTTCCTTTCACATCCATATCCATCCCGTTCCTCCCCCCTCGGGGGGGGGGGGGGGAAGCGCGCATCAGCTGGTCCAGGATCTGGTGGATGTCCGCCTGCGTCCTCTCGCACGCGCGCTGTATCCAGAAGCGCTTCCGCGCGCCTGGCGTCGGAAGCAGAGCAGTCGTTGCCGTCGTCCGCCTCGTCCTCCTGCGCCTACCCCTTCTTTCCTCCTCCTATTCCTCCTGCTCGACCTTCTACTCCCCATCCTCCTCCTCCTCCCTCCTCCTCATCCTCCTCCTACTCCTACTCGTCCTCCCTCCTCCTCCCTGCGTCTCCTCCTCCTCCTCCTCCTCCAAGCTTTTTCCTTACAACTAACTTCAACCTGTCGCACCCCGAAGCCAGTTGTTAGTTCTTGGGGTGGGCCGGGCGTTTCGCCTGAGACCTCCTCACCATTTGTGACTCTGAAGCAAAAACGTGGAAACAGCTTCGCAGATGGAGGGCGGGTGGTTTTCAAAATGTGGCTCTCGCCTTAGTGCAATGCACATTCGTTTGAAACATGCGCAAGAGTTTCGCGGATTGAGGGCAGGTGGTTTCCAAAATGTGGCTCTCGCCGTAGCGCAATGCACATTCGTTTGAAACATGTACAAGAGTTTCGCGGATTGAGGGCAGGTGGTTTTCAAAATGTGGCTCTCGCCTTAGCGCCGTGCACATTCGTTTTCTTATCGGAAGAGTTTCACGGATGGAGGGCGGGCCGTTTTCAAAATGAGGGCGATCTTCGGGGCCTCCTGGGACGTCCTGGGCGCTGCAATAACCTAAAAAGCAAATATGCTGATATCATACATGTTCCAAAGAGAATGTGGCAATTTTTGCCATCTGGGGCCCTCTTGGGGAGCGTCTTGGAGCCTTCTTGGGACGTCTTGGAGACCTCTTGGAAGCTCTTCGGCCATCTTGAGGCCATCTCGTGGCGTCTTGGGCCCTATTGCGCCGCTCTCGTCGCTTATTCGTCTCCCCTGGAGGGTGTTTTCGGCGGCCAGGGCGGCCGGAGGGAAGCCTAGGAGGCTCCGGAGGGGTGCACGGTTTCCCCCGGGGCCGTAGACGACCCGAGGAGGAAGAGGAGGAGGAGGAGGAGGAGGAGGGAGGAGAGAGGAGAAGGGAGGAGGAGGAAGAAGGAGGTGGAATTGGTGGAAGAGGTGGGGAGGAGGAGGGAGATGGAGGAGGAGGGAGGGAGGAGGAGAAGTAGGAGGAGGTGAGAGGAGGGAGGAGGAGGAGAGGAGAGGGAGGAGGAGGAGGAGGAGGAGGAGGGGTCGCCTAAGCCCTTCGAAGAAGCCCTCCAGGCTCCGGAGGGGGGGGAGGCCCAAAAGGAGGGGGGGGGGAATCCGGGAGGCTGTGCCCGCCTGGGGCCGAGGGCCACGGCACTCCGGCACGTGGTGTGTGCTGCGGGGGGGAGGGAGGGAAGATAGGCGGTGCCCTCTGGTTCGCCCGACCTGCCTATAACGTGGCATCCCCGCTGCTCCCTCTCCTTTGGCCTCCTCCTCCTCCTCCTCCTCCTCCTCCTCTTTCTCCTCCTCATCATCATCATCATCATCATCATCATCATCATCATCATCATCATCATCATCATCCTTGTCCTGAACCTCCTCTTCCCCCTTCCTTCCATCGTAGCCGTTTCTGGGGCTCAAGCCGCAGGTCGGTCGAGTGAACTGCGGCTGCCACCCAAATGGCTAATTTGGCTCGAACCCCAACTAGTCGCCGAGCCGTGCTGGCTCGGGGGCCGCCGCAATCTTCGACGGAGGCTTGAGGCAATCTTCGACTTTCGAGACGGTCGTGCGAGCCTTCCAAGCTCGTGCAGCGCGTCTGACCAGCTTATGAGGCGCGAGGGAAAAGTCCGTGAGAGGCTTCTGAGAGACCCCGCGTAAACTTCTTAGACTGGCTTGACAAACTTCTGAGAAAGTCCTGT